AAAAAAAAAAAAGAGATTACTCTTTATAGAGGTCATCCTAGGGCTAAGATAATTTATGTTTAACTTGCCAAAGAACTATACCCCATTTAGAAGGAAAAGAATCATGGCAAATGATTCTTGTATCAGTAGATCCAGTAGATCAGTAGATCTTGTATCAGAACTGTTAAAGATAGCCAGTTTACCCATAGTGCGATCAAAGTCTTTTCTCTGTAAGCAAGAGAGATAAGTCTAATCTGACAAATGAATCCAATAGATCTTGTATCAAAAGTGTTAAAGATAGCCAGTTTACTCATAGTGCTATGAAAGTTTTTTCTCTGTAAGCAAGAGAGAGAAAAGTGTAATCTGCTGAGTATGGGAGATTAATGTTCTAACATTCAGGCCTTTAAGAGAAATGTGGTATAAAATGTGTTAGAGAAGCCAACACATCAAAGTCTTTACCTTTAGAACTCCTACAGAACGTACTCACATTGTAGTCCTGTGGACATGTTCCATATAGTTTATCAGATCAATAGGAATGTCACAGCTGTTCTGACTGCCTTTCCAAAGCTGTATCCCCTTGTAAAGTTACTGAGCCTAAATCTGAACAGTCAACATAAAGAGCTCTGATTATGAAGCAGTGTTTTCTGGGTTTGAATTCTATTTTCATCTGTATTCCAGCAGTACGAACTCAAACTTACTTAACCTTTTTCTGCCTGATTTACCTCTCCAGTAAAATGGGCCATATAACAACCATACAAACATCATAGGCTTGTTAAGAGGGTAAAATAAGTTAGATTTATTGAGTAACTAAAATGAAAATACATTTGAGGTACAACTTGTCTAGAACATGTCTTTGTAGACAGGAAAATGGTTTTGTTTTTCATTTGTATCCACTTAGGGTTGAACTTATTGGTGAAATAACTCTACTGGGTAGATTCAAGAGGAAAATAGTCAGGCACTATTTGTAACCTGAGAGACTTGTTCCTCGGTCAGAAAAGTGCTGTCTGTATCTATAGCTGGGTGAAAAACCACATGAGACTAGTGAGGTCCACCCTACGGTTGAGGATGCAGGAGAATGATCCAGGGGGACCAGGAGGATGAGCCAAAATAAGGGGAGATAAGGCTAAAAAGATTGGAAAACGCAAGGCACTTGGGAGCTGCAAAAGGGTTTGAAATAGGAGAGCCATCTGGCCACATGTGCCTTTGGGGTATGTATTACAGCAACAAAACCAGGATTGGTGCCGGAATGCAAGAAAGGAAGAATTAGGTGACTATTAGTTATTTTTGTTTTTAAGTCATAGGTGTTCCATAATGAGCATGTATTAATTTTGTAATGGAAGAAAATACATACATTTTTCTTTCTTTCTTTCTTTCTTTTTTTTTTTTTTTGAGACAGAGTCTCACTGTGTCACCCTGGGTAGAGAGCTGTGGTGTCACAGCTCACAGCAACCTCCAACTCTTGGGTTTAAGTGATTCTCTTAAGTAGCTGGGACTACAGGTGCCTGCCACAACACCTGGCTATTTTTTGGTTGTAGTTGTCATTGTTGTTTGACAGGCCCGGGCTGGATTCGAACCCACCAGCTCCAGTGTATGTGTATGCACCCTAGCTACTGAGCTACAAGCACTAAGCCACATACACTTTTATTTCTAAGAAATCTACTTTTGAAATAATTTTCTTTATAATGTAGCCCCAATTTAATAAAATCTAAAATTAAAATCCCAATTAGAAAATAGTCATTCATTTGACACTTGACCTCTTTGCTCAACAAAAGATTCATCACAGATTTTCATTAAATAATCATCCTTTTCTGCAATATCACCTTTCATCTAATATAGGGAACATGTCAATTTCATTAAGTAAATTAGAATGAAAATTGCAACCATATTACTTGTAATATTTACTTTGCCAATTTTATAGCTCCTCAGCCATCTATGAATTAAAAAATATTCACCCCTGGGGTAGCATTCTAGCCTGGAGCAACATGCCCCAGAAAACTGGTAATGAAAATAATGGTTTATGAAGAAAAACTTGACAGATTAATTAACTATAATCTTACTTTGTCTCTCTCTAGCACTATTTCTTTAACAACTATTTAGTCCCAAGTATAGAGATCTGTGTTGATTTGGTTTTTTAGTTATTTGCACTTTTTAGTAAAGTAGTTTTAGAAATTAATTGGACAGATAGCTATCAAACAGGAGAGAACATTTAATAGTATGTAGCAACTTTACTGTAATTTTCCCCAACATGAGTATGTTATAGGAATATCTTGCAAACTCTGTGGAGATGAAGTTTTAAACCCCAACGTGACAGTGTGTTCTTTGTTATTGTCATGCTTTTTATAGTAGCCTTGGGGAATGGTGGTCTCTGATTTTTACATGTGCACACAGGATATCTACTTAATCTGAAGAACTGAACAATAATGGTCTTTTAAACTATATTAGTAATACATAAATATTGGGTAAATTTATTTCTACATACTAGCCTGACGAAACTGGACAACATTGAAAACACTTTAAATACTAAATAAATGTTAAGTACAATATACATAACTATTTCTGATTGTAATTATTTTGGATAAATACTAATTTAACTGCCTTCAAATAGGCATACTTTTTAGCATGTGAAACTGAGTTTCTATAGGTTGTTGCTAGATGGTAAATTCAATATAAATAACAATAAAGAAACCACATATGGTTAGCCTGGGATTCAGAAATTGGCTTTAAGATTCTCAAATAAATAAAGACCTTCTTTGAAGGCACACAGATGTATTAATTTTTAATTTGTTTCTTTTTGATCTCTTAATTACTGGAAAAGATTTATTGGTTAATTTTAGGAAAGCAAGTGTTTGAAAAGTTTTGCCAAATACTGTCTTCTTTAAATGACTGTATGGTAATGAAAAGTTAAGAGGAGAGCCAAATTAGATTGAATAATTGTTCAGTCATGTGGGTCAGGGTAGTTGCATAGCCTGGTTGTTAGACTGATTGCTCAAATTACATTGCCTGGGGTCCTGCACTTGGTTGGCTGTCTTCTCAGATCTTAACAAGGTTCTGGGAATTTCTTTTTTCTGACAAAGTTTGCTTTGTATTTTCCCCCTCCCCCTACCACCTCCAGGATGCTTCATCTGCAGACATCAGAAAAGCATATCGTAAGCTTTCGCTAACTTTACATCCAGACAAGAATAAAGATGAAAATGCAGAAACTCAGTTTAGACAAGTAAGTGAAATATGCTGTAGTGTATATTTTATGACAAACGTGTTAATAACTATGTTTATGGTAGAAATATTAAATTATATATAGAATGTTTCCATTTGAAAATGATGTAGTCGTTTAAAAATATAATATTTTATTTAATTCTTTTATAATATAAATTTTTGCCATTTTGTATTATTACCATCTAAATACTTGGAGGGTCATAATTGTTATAATTTTCTTATCTAAATTACAACTTTTGCTTTTATAATTCCTGTTGTAAAGTAACTATTACTTTTACATCTTTCACAAAGATTCATTTTGGTATCAAGCATTTTTTAACCTCTTAAGGTGCTACTAAAAACATAAAATGTTACTGATATTTGAGATTTTCTCTGTTCATCATATGTATGGGCACAGAGATTTCTGCATGTGCATTACAGTGCTTTCACCTTCCTGCGTAATTTCTTATAGTTGAGTGTATTTTTATTTTAAAGTAATGCTTCTATTTTAGTTGGTGGCCATTTATGAAGTTTTAAAGGATGATGAACGAAGGCAGAGGTGAGTGTTCATTTCTGCTTTTGAATTAAGATCTTATAGTGTCATGCCACAGTTTATAAAGGAAATAATTAAGTCTTCATAAACATTTTGTTTATTATAAATTAGTATTTTGTTTATTCCTTCCAAGAAATGCAGTTTTTTTAATGCAATGTTTTTAAAATGTATGTTTGAAGTAGAGTTAATTTCTATTGAAAATATTTATAAGGTTTATTTCAATCTTTACAAGCTCACGATCATAAGTCATAATGTTAGCAAGTCCTGGCTTCATTAGATAAGATTTTAATATGGCTGTTTATGCCCTGGGAAATAAAAATACCACTTGACTTCGAACAAATGTCCATTCTTTTCAATATATAAGTAATGTTCCTGTCTGTGTTTGGTGGCCCTCCCCCCCCCACTATTCCCTAAAGGTTTGAGATTTAACTGTTAGTGATAGTCAAGTTAATACCCTTTTTTTGATGTTTCCTCGGTTTCAAAATAATAGATACAATTATATAAGCTTGTAGAAGATAGGATGGGAGAAAAATATTTACCTCTTTATCCTATTTCTTTTGCTGCCACCCCTCTGCTCCAGTGATTCTGTATTTATGGTTACTTTCAAAGTGGAGGCAGCTCCCCAACTCTAAGACTTTTCTGTGCCCCTTTTAGAAAAATGGTAATATATTTATATAGTGGCTTATAGTGCCAGTGACTTAAGAGGAGATTGCAGAGGGGCCTGTTTCCTCTGCTGCTACAGAATGTATGGAATGTAGACATGATTGCATGGGCTTCCAAAACTTTTAAGTCCGACCTCAGTGAGAAATACATTTTGCATCATACCTCAGGACACACACACAACTGAAACAAGTTTCACAAAGCTTCTTATTGCATGTGAAACATACTGTTTTCTATTTTAGCCTAGTTTAAACTAGTCTTTATTTTTAAACAATGCTAATTGTGGTTTTCTGAGTTAATTTTGTGAGACACTAGTGAGCAACATTCCAGAATTTGAAAATGTTCCTCTATAGTAATAGTGCCTTAAAAAAGACCCAAACAAAACATACCTAGGTATTTGAGATTGAGATTTAAGCTAAAGCTAACCTAAGTGTCTGTCTCTCTATGGGGGCTAATACATCTTAAAGATAACCCCCCCCATATACTATGTAACATTCTGAATCTTTCTTCAACTGTATTATCTGGAATTATTCTATATCCTAAAATGTTAGCAACCAATCTTGGTTCTCATCTTAACTCTTTAACTTGAATACCTCAGTTTGCCAGATTGCAAAGTAAGGATTCAATATATTCTCTTAAAGTGTTTGCTTTGTAACAAGGGCTGGCATTGGTCCAGATACCATAGCAGACATTCCTCTGGTTTGAGATAATCCATAGTGTTGAAAGAGTCCTAGAAGTGTGTTGAAAGAATTGTTGGTCATTCTACACATATTTTCTAGTTGGTTTCTCTGAGTGAGCCCCTGGTTTTGTTTCACACATGAAGAATATGTCTGTAAAGATATCTTTATTTAGTCTTCTGTTATCCTTGGCTTTGGATTTTTGCCTTTTTGTTTGTTATCTTAAAGTCAGTAAACTTTGTAACAGTTTCTTTCAGTTACTGAAATTATTTCTATCTTTTCAAAACAAATCATATTTTTGTATAAATTATTTCTTCATTAACATGGAATCATCTACTATTATCTCTTTAGGATTAGTTCCCTCCGCATTTATGTTGGAGTGTTGATAGAAAAAATGAATTTGACAGTCACACAAACAGCTGTAGTATTTATACCCCTTGAGGCACAAGTAACTCTTTGGTAACTGATTTTCCTTGAGGCAAAAGTCTTAAGTAATCAAGCTAAGAATCACTTCTCCAAAGCTTGCACCTGAGGCCAGGTGACCTGCGAGTATTTAAACATACAGGAGAAAGGCTCTCCACAGACAATTACCTAATGTTTATAATTCGTTTAGGAAAAAAAAAAGGCACAGTCAGCTTTATCTTCTAAAAGAAGATTGTCTCATATTGGCATTAAAAAATCCTTTTTGGTATCACAGTTATTTATTATATATTGATTGAATAGGTGCTTTTAAATGCATAACCTTCCAGGAATTTGTAGTTTGGAAAATTGTCCTAGACATATTTCCTATTTATTTCTCTTATGTATAATTATGTTTTTTACTGAAATCAATTGCATTCTTTGAATTTTGGTGGAAAAGGGAATAGAAATGAAATAGATAAGTTAACAAACTGGATGACCTTTTTTTAAAAATAAAAAAGAGAAGGCAAGTTTTATTTTTTAACAGTCTTATTTAGGTAATATTGCATAGCATAAAAAGTCACCTGTTTTAAGCATACAATTCAATGATTTTTAGTAAATTTACAGAGTTTTCCAAACCATCACCATAATCCAATTTCAGAACATAATATTACCCCATTTGCAGGTCATCCCCACAGTAATCCCCAGTCCCAGGCAATCAGGGATCTACTTTATGTGTCTATAAATCTGTATTTCTGGACATTGCACATAAATAGAATCATGCAATATGTTGTCTTTGGCATCTGGTTTCCTTCTATGAACATGTTTTTGAGATTCATCCATACTATAAAAAAATATCAGTAGTTCATTTTTTTTCTATTGTTAAATAATACTCCACTATATGAAGATACTATTTTTACTTATCCCTTCACCCATTAATGGTCATGTGAGTTGTTTCCACTTTGGCCTATGATGAGCAGTGCTGCTAAAAAGATTCACTTATGTCTTCTTGTAGACACATATGTTTTCCTTTTTCTTAGATATATTTCTAGGAGTGTGATTGTGAATAAAATTTTAAGGCTTTTTTTCCCCAAAGGCATAGACTATATAGCATGAAGATATAGTCATATCCCTTATAATGACATATCAGTCAAGGAGAGACCATATTCAGTATATGACACTGGTCCCATAAGATTATGATACTGTTTTTACTGTACCTTTTCTATGTTTAATTGTGTTTAGATTCACAAATATTTACTGTTGTGTTACTTGCCTACAGTGTTCAGTGCAGTATATGGGTATGGTAGGTTTGTGTAAATACATTCTATGATGTTCACACAGTGACAAAATTGCCTAAAACAGATTTCTCAGAACACATCCTCATCGTTAAGCAACACATGACTGTAACAGGCTTTCCTGGTTAGTGTAAAGAAAACTAGCATAGCAGCCTTTTCTAAATTCTTTAGCTTGGGTGGTGCCTGTAGCTCAAAGGAGTAGGGTGTTGGCTCCATATGCCAGAGTTGGTGGGTTCAAGCCCAGCCCCGGCCAAAAAAAAAAACCCACAAATAAACTCTTTAGCTAATTTGTTTATTTTGGGGAATAGTAGCCTAGCAATGTTTCAACACATTTTTATATGAGTGCCCTGACTGTTAGTTGAGCTGAAGTACTGAGTACCAATCATTACATATGTACACTAGATTATGCTTAGTAAAGTAACATATAAGGTGTCCTTGAAGTTCATGTGCTGTTTTAAATTTCACACTATTTTAAATTGGATGCAAACTTTAGAGACACCCTGTATTTACTTTTGTTTATAGTCTTTACTTTTGTTTAACCAGTCTTCTTTTGCTAACCTAGTTGTGCAACTTTAAATTTTCTGTTTTATGTTTTATAAAAGTTGAATGTAATTTTTTAGTTAAATAAAATCATGTTTTTCTTATAAATGCAGTTAAAAGTATAATTATCTCAGCTTTAATCTATTAAACTTTTATAAATTCATTGTCTAGTTACTGTAAATTTTATTACAGATGTGTTCAAATCAAAATAAACATTAATGGGCTCAGCACCTGTGTCTCAGGTGGCTAAGGCACCAGCCACATACACCTAAGGTGGCGGGTTCAAATCCATGCCGGGCCGCCAAATGACAATGATGGCTGCAACCGAAAAATAGCCAGACATTGTGGCGGGTGCCTGTGGTCCCCGCTACTTGGGAGACAGAGGCAGGAGACTCGCTTAAGCCCAGGAGTTGGAGGTTGCTGTGAGCTATGATGCTACAGCACTCTACCCAGGGGAATAGCTTGAGGCTCTGTCTCAAAATAAATAAATAAATAAATAAATAAATAAAAATAAAAAAATTAAAAAAAATTAATGTAAGAGTAAGAAATCTATTTTAGAACCTTCCCTAATTAAGAAATATAAGACACTTATTATATACCATGTATAAAGTTCTGTATGCCATAATTTTGGCATTTTTTAAAGAAGAATAAAATTGATTAATTTAGACTGGCTTCCTGTTTATGATCTTTTTTTTTTTTTTTTTTGAGACAGAGCCTCAAGCTGTCCCCCTGGGCAGAGTGCCATGGCATTACAGCTCACAGCAACCTCCAATTCCAGGGCTCAAGCGAGTCTCCTGCCTCCGCCTCCCAAGTAGCTGGGACCAAAGGCGCCCGCCACAACGCCCGGCTATTTTTTGGTTGCAGCCGTCATTGTTGCTTGGCGGGTCTGGGCTGGGGATTCGAACCCGCCACCTTAGGTGTACGTGGCTGGCGCCTTAGCCGGTTGAGCTATAGGCGCGGAGCCATGATCTTTATACCATTAATTTTTACACAAAGTTTCAGAATGTAACCTAAATGGAAATTATAGGGATTTTTTATTTTGTTTTGTTTTGTTTTTTGAGATAGAGTCTCACTCTGTTGCCCTTGGTAGAGTGCAGTGGCATCACAGCTCACAGCAACCTCAAACTCTTGGGCTCAAGCAATTCTCTTGTCTTAGCCTCCCTAGTAGCTGGGACTACAGACGCTCACTGCAGTGCTCGGCTATTTTTAGAGATGGGGTCTCACTCTTGGTCAGGCTGGTCTCGAACTCCTGAGCTCAGACAAACCACTGCCTTGGCCTCCCATTGTGCTAGGATTATAGGCATAAGCCACTGCACCCAGCTAAATTATTGTTATTTTATTAAACTAACAATTTAAGATTTATAATATAGAAAATTCACAATTTAGGCAAATGCTAGAATTATTAAAGATTCATTTCATAATGCATGAATTTTCGTTTTAGTTACATAATTACTATTTTATGTTTCAAAACATGCTAAAATTTTAAATTCTCATGATTTTTTTCTTCTGGTAATTAAATAATTTTAAAATCTATTTGTTTTCCTTATTTATATTAGGTTAAATATATTTGATAAATTGCAGATTATAGTGTGGAACTCAATAATGATTATTTAACCACTATTTATATTTATCATACGTAATGAAAATTGAATGAAATATACACACATGAGGCCAAATGTTGGATGTGTGGAATTGATCAATTAATGTTTTGATATCCAAGAAAGTACTTTTATAATTCCATATGATGTTTTGTTTTGGTGATATTTTTATCATAGAGATCTTCTGTATATCTTATAAATCTGGCTCTAACAAATAGTTAACGGTTTGTATGAGTCTCAATTATGGAGCATTTTAACAGTGATAAATATGTTTAAATATAGAAAAAGCACAGTAAAGTGATGTTTTAAATTTTATGTGTTTTCAGCATAATATTTTTTCCTAACTTAAGAAAATATTGTCTGGGTATACTTTTAAGAAATGTATTTGTTTTTTCATCTTGTTGCTTCATCAAGAAAGCAGTAATTTATCTTTTAACAGCATATATTCTAAAAACTGAACTATAATAGAAGCTATCTTTCCTTAAAATGGCCAGTCGTGTGAGCTATAACATTTATTGATAGTAAAATCAATAGAGCATTGATTCTAAGCTTAATCCTTGGAGACTGTTGTTTAGAGTGGCAGACATAGCCTGGTAAATGTCTGGTTGTGTTTAACTTGTTCAGTACGTGAGATTTTGTTATCTTGAATTTGGTTGTGCACCAAATGCAGTTTATATGTGGGTTAGAAAATAGTAGCTATTGACAGATACATAGCATTTTCAGCTATGATGGTCACAAAATAGTTGATATGAGATTCTTAGCTATGAGTTCAACTGTATTTTCTTTCACTATGGTTTAAATACAGATCTAAAACAAATTCAACCCTTAGGAATGCTATTAGGGAATTGCCTCTGCTTTCTTAGATGTTAATTATCAATAACCATACTTTTAACATGAAGCTATTTCAATTTACTGAAAATGATTTTTTATATTCACCTTTTATTCTTTTAACAAATATGAAGTAGAATATGAATTTAGAATAAATGCAGAACTAACCATTCATTGGATGTGGTTTGAATGTTGTAGTCTTGTGTCATGCCCCTATCTATCCATTTCTAATTTAAAATAAGGCAGGTTTTGCAAGATAGATTTAAATATAAATTTTTGAGAACAGGAATGATAATATGAATTCATAGTATATCTTGATGTTCAGTGTGTAAATACTGAAAAAGCATATTTAAGACTAAATTTTGTCTGGTCCAGCTACCTTACAACCATATTTTAATTTGCAGACTCTTGTATGTTACACAGTTTGCTTTATAAGATTTTAGTACTAATTAATGTTCTTTCCTTTCAACATTGGTTATTCTGATCTGATAGTGTTATTAATAACCAAAGTTGATCTAAAAGTCAGTTTTCCCCAATTTGCTAGTAAAATATATTTTACATTTATAGCTAATGTTTTTCTACTCAAAAAAGAAGTTGGCTGCAATAAATTCTCTGCTATATTTTTTTTTAGCATATCTCCAAGGTATCAATTTAATAACTATCAAAAGTAGCTACTGCAGTTGTTGCATTTAAATTGATTTACATGTCAAGACTGGCAGTTTAGCAGCTGCGCTATTATTCCTAGATCGGTCAATTTACTTGAGAAAAACCTACTACTGAGTTCCACTGACCTGCCTGACAATATAGGCCCTATTTCTATTCCTGTAATTAGGCCTGCGACTAACTCAGAATATTTTTAATTAAAATATTTTGGTCAATGTGTTGCACCAAATTAGGCCTTTCAGTGAAGCTTTAATTCTGGAAATAGTGTGATTAGAATATTTAATGAGTTATGTTCAATTAAGATTAACAGGTTGTGTGTGTTTGAACATACAGTGTTTGTGTGACCATTTTGAGTTTTACAATCATAAATGTTACTCCTTATTTTTAACCTTAAAAATATTTGCTCAATAATTATCTGAGTTTAAATTCAGTTGAAATTTTATTTTAAAGTAAATTTTTTAGCCTGATAGTACCAAGAAAGCTGATTTAAAATGCATGCCTTGGAAAGATTTTACTTGTTAATGCTCTTCTCTTCCAGCAAAAGCCAAAAAATAAGGATATTGCCACAAATGTTTACAAATAGTTTTATTGAGAAATCTGACATAAACAGGGCTTGTTTCCACATCTTTCTAATTTGAGTTTTTTACTTTCTTAAAGGAATGTGGCAATACTAAATTAAAAGGTGCTCAATTTATAGGCTTTTTTACCTTGTTAAAAAGCTTTGATAAAATAATGTCTATAAATATTTCAACTTTGAATTACCATAGTTTAGGGGTAGAAAGGAAACACTGATAGAAAATTTAGTCTGAATTTGATTCAAGTAATATGTAATTCATAATAACAAATAGCTCTTATCTTGATTTTTCTCCTTGAGATTCTTCCTTTTGTTCCTGACTTCATGGGTGTGTTGGTCACAATGGACTGTACTTGAAGGTAGACTGTATGTAACTCCTTTAGTTGAGCTGTCATTCTAGGAGTCACATCTGTGGGTGCCATAAAAACACTAGATCTTGTATCCATAGTGTATCACTGTGCCCCTTCTTGCAGATTGTCAGCTACTAAAGCTATGGACAGTGTTTTGAATTTACTAGACGTGGAAATACTGCTAATCGACATTATCTATTTTAGAGAAATTATTTTCTTGCCTCTCTTTGTATAGATACAAATAAAGTTTTTTGTTTTTATTTTAAACTCCCATGAAAAACTGTTTTATTTGCTACTGTAGGTATGATGATATTCTGGTCAATGGACTTCCAGATTGGCGACAGCCTGTATTCTACTACAGGCGAGTGAGAAAAATGAGCAATGCTGAGCTGGCATTGCTCTTGTTCATTATTCTCACAGTGGGTCATTATGCTGTGGTTTGGTCCATCTACCTGGAAAAACAACTGGTAAGTATTAGTAATCAATGATCTAGCCTCCCTAATGTTATATGGAATGTCAGAGATTTATTTTTCAATTGATACAAATTTTAGTTTTTCTGTATGTACTCTCATTCTAGCAGTTTTGTGCTCAATATGTAATGATTGACATTTTCTGAGTCAAGAAGAATGCATGAAATAAAAAGAAAATATTCTTCTTTTTAAAAATGAGGCACTTAAGGATGTTATAAAACTTCATGAATACCCAAATATCTAGCTGAAAATTAGAAAGTCAAGCCATGTTTTCTTAATTATCACCTTCCAGATAGAAATATTTTTTATATAAGACTGATTTTAGGAATTTTTTGTGTCATGAGCCATTTTATAATGAATATCTACTTTTAAAATGTCTTAACTAAATGAGATTTGAAATTAATATAGTTTTATAACTTAAGAGATCAGTTGGTTAAAAAAATCTTGCACTTTTCTTGGTCTAATATGCTATTATATAGTTTATTCTGCTATGAATTTTATGTATATGTTAAAGATAATTAAACGTATTTATCAGTATTCATGAATTAGCATCTGTTTACTCATTCCTTTTGAAGCGACATTATTAAAGTGGGATGAATGAGAAAAAGTGAGTTGAATGCTTTCTCTGCTTAGAAAACTTTGATTGCTATGGAGATGCACATGACTGACAGTGCTGAACTTCATGTGTGTTTAAGGCCTGGATGCCATGGCAACAGTTATTGTGAAAGATTGATGATTTTACTTAATCATGTTGGACCCTACATATATTTGCATAAATGTTCCTCTATAATGTTTACCCTTCACAGAAGAGTCTTGATAACATTTGAAGAATACATGTTAATGATAACCTGTAACCGTAATTCTTTCCACATTAAGGATGAACTGCTTAGTAGAAAAAAGAGAGAAAAGAAAAAAAAAACAAGTGGCAAGAGTGTGGATGTATCAAAACTTGGTGCTTCAGAAAAAAATGAAAGGTAAGGAGCATATAAAAACATTTTATTATTTGAAACCTTTAAAAATGTCTTTAATATGATTCAACTTCATGTGTATATCCATTTAGATGTGCTCTCATTTACATCTGTAGTAGTTTATAAAAAACTAATTGTCATGATTTATTAGAAAAATTCTAATGTTAAGCAAAACTTTTATAGATTTTTTTCTTCACAAAGTGTTAATAAATATTTACAGAATATAAACCCTCAATTTCTTGTAGTTTGAAATTTTTATGCCGAACCTTAGAAACAAAAGTATTATTAGGAAAATCTGTCACTTAGCTGAGGGGTGACCATATTACAGGCAGTGATATGCAGTACACTCAAAAAGATACCACTATTTCTTCTATTGATTCATAGAAAGGAATAAAGGGTTTAAATAGTTCACACAGCAGGGCATGAACTGGGATCAATGTGGGATGGAGATCAGAGACTATTCTGCCTGTCTTCTGTTCTGATGACATCAGTGAGTAATGCTTCAGTGAACTGCAAATGACATTAATTTTTATGTATTCGTTTGTTTATGCTGCTGTCTTCATATCTGGTTGTCAGCACTTGGGAACATACTGATGATGGTTTATTTTTTATAGCTGAAGTAATCAGAAGGTTTAAGATTTCATTTTGCAAAAGTGATGAAAAGTTCAGGTTAGAGAGCTGCTTTTGTTTCTTTATGTTTGTAACTTTAAGAACCTCCTTCCCCCAAATCTTAGCCTAATTCTCTTACTTGTTATATATATATTGCATTCGTTATAACTACTGTATTTCATGTTAGAATAAGTCAGGTTAAGAGATGACTGTGATAAATATTTCACTGAAGACATCTACTTTTTTGTTGTTGAAATAGCCACTCAGAAAGTTCATGCTGTTGATAAAAATATTTTGTCTCCCAGCTTTCTCTATATTGCTGATTTGTTTTTCCCTCCCCTTTTAGATTGCTGATGAAGCCACAGTGGCATGATTTGCTTCCATGCAAACTCGGAATTTGGTTTTGCCTTAAGCTAAAAGCATTGCCTCATCTAATCCAGGTAAAATGTACCTCTTTTATATAATATTAGATGCTTTCTCTTTTAATTATTCATGAAATAATTTATGCTCATGTCCGCTATCTGAATACAGTGGGTGTTTCGTAGTGTTGACTGAATAGTCTTTTTAGTGTTAAACTTAATTTGAATAGTTCTAAGATTATTTAGGTATCTATTCCTATTGTTATATCTTAATTGTTTTTAGATCACCTTAGAATTCCAAGACACTGGAAAAAGGAAAACAAAATACTATCTTTAGGGTAGACATAAAAGCAATAAAAATTTAATCCTCTGTTATCATAAAAGGCATAACTAGTAAAAAGGAACGAAACTTCAAATGGATTGTCATCCCTTATTTTAATGCTATTTAAATACTTAGTGTGAAAGAAAACTTTTACATGAGCATCTGTGTAATTATACAAAAAAAAGATTGTTTCCCATTTTATTTGCAATAAGAGGAGTGAGGATATTTTATTTGGTTTGTTTTTGTTTCTTCTTAGTCTTATTTAGACAATAAAATGTGGATATATGTCATATTTATATGACAGGGTTTTTTCCCTACATTTAGTATATCAAAGATATTTTATTAAATTCTCATTTTGCTAATTTTAATTACTGCATCTAGTTAGGAAATTTTCAGCATGTAAATATTTGAAAGTAAATATAATACTCTTTGGCATACAAATTTTGAGGTTCTTTGAGTTTGTAATTTTTGAAGGGAAATGGGTTATTTTAAAAAATAGTGTTAATAAGATAGAAAGCTAGATAATTTCTACCTAGTTCTACCTACTTTGTAGTCGTATGTTATGTCAGAGCTACTTTTCCTGATTGTTTAAGGAAAAGCTAATCACTCTAACTTCTGCATTTTATTTTCCTTTTTCTTCTCATAATGAAAATTTTATATATGGAGAGGAAATGAACTAAAAACTATTAGTGTGTCTTTGTCTGTCCTTTGAGAAATTATAAGTTCTTCCACCAAATAGTTCATTTTGAAAGTTACTGCTTACAAATTCTTACATTTGTTTATGGGTAATAGAGAAAAAACAACAAAAAAAGAAAAACGTATTTTTATAATGTAAAGCTTTTGTTTTGAAGTTGTTTAACATGTGATACTGTTAATTGGGGGGAAACTCCCACAATGTTTGTATCTGTCTGTAAAACTTAATGAGAGAGAAGATGAGACAGAAAAATATTTTTAGGGTAGAGTGTCTTATGTTTTTTAAGTCTGACGATTTTTTTTGTCAGCTTTAGAGTCTGTACAATAGACAAACCAGGGGCCAGATGAGTTAAAAAGTACAGTCATGAGACAGAATATATAGAATATTACTTAAAAAGTTAATCTTAAATACTTCTTTGTAATTTAATCTTGAGTAATTTGAAATAAAGTTTATTTAGTCAAATTAATATAATTCTTTGGTTAGGATTTGCTAAAACCATTATATTATGAAGGCTTAGATCACAATATATTATTTTAAATTACCTACATGTGGTATCTAGACCTAACAAATTAGTGGATTGTTTTGCCTCATCATAAATTTGTAGAAAATATACAAAAATAAGGAATTTAACAAAAGCTTTTTAGTTACTTTAGGAACTCTGCTTTCTTAAACTGTTTGATTAGTTTGAATTTTAAAGTTTTTAATTAGTTGAAGGTACCTGTTACCTTTCAGTTTTGAGATACTAAGCATTAGGCTTTCAAGATCTTTATAAATTGAACTTTTGTATTTTTTTTCTAATTACTTCTTCCTGATAAAATCAGTTCAAGAAAAATAACATGATTTTCCCTCTTTAAAGCAAATACTTGGTATTTTAGTTCTTCCTTAGAAACATAGAGTTAGTTTTTCTGGTGATCACTAACAAATAATGCAATGTAGTCTTTTTCTTTCTGACACATTGCAATAATGAAAGTATTTTAGATTGATAAACATTCAGTTTATAAAAGGCATCAGCAAAACAATGCTTCCTAAAAGATCAGATTTTTGTCAGCTTTTTTAAAATTAGTCTTCTCTAGCCTTTATCCATATTAATTTCAGATTTTCTTAAAAGAGACATTTGTGGAATTTGGAATAAGCCCTTTTAAACTGAATCAACCTGGATTAGTAATTGTAACAGTGGTCAAAAAAGAGCTGTGCTAAAGACCAAAGCATAAAAAATGATACATGCAACCTTAAACTGTTTAAACATGAATTCTATGTTTATTCATTGTTCTTGTGATATAGGGCTTTCTGTTTTATTTTTAAATAGGGGTCCACTGACTGGAGTTTCTTGTCCTCTTTCTTGGACAAACCATACCTATAACCCTGATTTCTTTAAAGACAGATTTTCAGATTTGATTCCTTTAAAGAAGAGTCATATTAGACTCTTGTGAATCAATAGAATTGTATAATCTATATAGATTTTTCTGTTTTCCCCCAGTCTTTCATAATTGGCTTCCTCATACCTACTTAACAATATTTTTATTTTGTTTTATTTTTAAAAGACAGGGTTTTGCTATGTTCAATCCAAGCTGGCCTTGAACTCCTGGGCTCAAACAATCTTCCCACCTCAGCCTCCTGAGTAGCTAGGACTATAGGCTTATGCCACTGGTTTTTTTTTGAAATCCCAGGTGGGACAAGAAAACAGAATTTTTAACAATTCTCCTATTGAGCTTTCCAAAGCATTTGAATTGGTTTTCATAGAAACAACTCTAATTTTCTACTCACAGTCATCTTTTTTAGATAATATTTAATTGAATCATGTAAGGAGAATAATTATAACTAACACAAAAATGTTCAAGAGTTAACACAACCACCTCTTAGAAGGATACAGTAAATTAGTTAAGCAGATGCCAGTTAAGAGAGTAGTACTTTTGATGTTAACCCCTTGAATATCATGAAAAGTTAATTAAAGCTAAAATGCAAATATTCTATGTAGGTATAAACCTATTAGATAGGAAGTAAGATCCAAGCTAAAAATGGAAGATGCAGAGGCTTCCAGCAAGTGGCCTTTACAGTGACAGAATCTGTACCCAAATCTTGTCATAGCAACAGTTCTTCACCTCTCACTTCTTTCATCTTCTAAATACCTATTCCTTCACCATGCTTTACACATCTGAGGTTGTCCAGTAGGACTGGGAGAAGTGGCAGTTCTAGCTCAGCTTATGCTCTCAAGTTCACTTTTATTGCTTAGTATCTAAACTCTCTATGAAAACTCGTATTGCCTGCTTAGTTTAGCTAATTTTTTTTCTTTTTCCTCACTCTCCCCCCAAAAATTTACAAATGAGAATAAATACATCCATATCTGATGTGTAAAACAACTCCTGGTCATATGCTTAGAAAAACAATTCAGATAGTTCAGTAAAATAAATTGAACACATACCAGAACAAGGCACTAATGGGGCTGCAGAGATGAATATGCCTTGTAGGACCTCATAGTCAGGTAGTGGTTATAACACATGAATTTAAATTAACTGTTATGCAACATAGTATATAAGCTTCACATATATGAACAGTGACTTCTGTAGATGTTCAGAGAAGTAGGGTTGTCCTTATTTAGGAGAAATACAGAAAACCGAAAAGAGGAGCCGCTTGAATGGTAAATAGACACTTAACGGTGAAGTGCCCACTTTGTGTACTAGGTGGTATACAGAGATAATTTTGTACATGGAGTACTTCCCTTGCAGTTGTACTGTGTTAAAGTTAGAAGAGGCCTGAGGAAAATACATAGCAGATTTCTCTTTTTAAAAAGAGAATATCATTCAGCCTATCACTCTATTCTGAGACTGTATCCTAGGTCTCTAGATTCTGAAGATACTCATTTAGGAATTTACAGTCTAACAGATAAATCTGATAAGTCAAGTCTAAAAGGGACATTTAGGCAGAATAAGGCTAACTGATAAGACAACAAAGTATTTCTATCCCACACATCTGTTTCCATCACACACACATATGTGTACATTATTAGAAGTGGTAGAAATAAAGTACATAATGGCTATAAAATGGGCAGAAAGTACTTCACATCGTTCTGTGATTAGGCAGGGTATGGAGGTCAGAATAAGTAATTATTCTCTTTGCTTTTTGAGACAGTCCTTATTTACCTCTAGCACGGGATTTTGTTTCTTTGCTCTATAAAAGGTATTGGGAGAATTGTAAGAATTGATAGAAAAACAAAGGCAAAGAATGTTAAATATGTGATAATGTTAAATTAATATCAAACATTTCTCAAATAGATGAGTATTCAAGGAAAAGATAGATGCATGGGTATGGCTGTATTTAGTTAAAATTAGTAAAATTATGCTCCGTATAATTTATATACCTATTATGTTAGAAAAGTCAGATGAAAAACTAAAAAAAAAAAAAAAGAAAAAGAAAGTTTGTAAATTGATGGGTGATTGGAAAGCTACTATTGCTTAGAGAGGGAGAACGTTGGAAAGTGAAATGCACGCCTCTATGCAGGGAGCTGGCTGCACCGCAGAAAGTGCTTTCAGAGAGCCATGAAAGTATAATGGCCAGCAGAAAATGTGGAATATGAATTAGGCTGTAACAAGGAGCTAAACTAGATCAAGAGATGGCTTGTATCCTTTGAAGTAAGAATTTAATTGTAACATTAATAGTTTAGCCCCAGTGATATTTTTTCACAGTCTATTTCTGTTTTCATGGTAGTTTTGAAGGGAATACACATTCTCTTGGAATCTGACTTAAACCAGTCCTCTGTGTTGTATTAAGCCAATAACCCCAGGAAGTTTTTCTAACCTCCAAAATGCTCTTCTTGGATATTTTTTAATTGATTGTATGCTCTGTAACCATGAAAGTAGCAAAGAGTTGATAAAGTTTAAAATATAATCAGTGCTATATGCATATTTTCAATTTGACTCTTATTAGTTTATTTTTATACTGTCTGTGTTGGAACGTTATATAATTAGGCCCATAATACTTTAGATTAAGATCATCAATTTCTCATATAAAATCAGGAATTACCAAATATTCTGAGTGATTGTCAATCTAAATCATTTTCTGAGATCAAAC